TTTGTAATTAACGCCACTAGGTCGTAACACATAAAAAATTATTTTACGTGCACCTCTAAGTTTTTTTGATTTTTCGAGGCCATGATTTGATTGGCCGATTAACATGTGATACCATATGATAGAAATATCTAGAAACATCTGATCACGTGATCGATACTGCCTATATTTGGGGGATGGCTAAAGCTATGTACCCACATGATTTTGACGTTTTAATTGTTTAAATTAAAATTAAGGTTAGGATTAGGGTTAGCTTGGTGTTGATATAAGAAGAGAGATATAGGTAAAATTGCCTTCCCGACATTTTTAATTAGTGCCCCAAGATAGGTTAAGACTGTCGTTTTTCATCTTTTTGTGGTTTCTTTATTTTTTAACTTCTTCAGGCTGATTCGTGTAAACAAAATTTCGCAATTCCGGTTGGTTAATTTGCATAAAAAAGTCACATAGGTACATGGCTTTAGATGACCCCAGATTTGGTAAAATCTCTGACTGTATTATACCATATATATAATTATATATATAATAACAATAAATTTTGTTTATACAATACACCGATTCTGTTAAATCAAAACAAACCTTATCTCATTAAACATCCTGGTTTTTCACTGCCCGATTACAATTTGATGCATTCAAGTTTGGTGCCAGTACAAGAAACACGAAATAAAAGACCAGAAGAAGGAAGATTATTAGAAAATACATTTACAAGAACACTTGAAATTTTCTCGGTAATAATCTTGGATTAAAAAAAAAGTAATACCTTCGAATAATATATAAGTATAATGAGAATAAGAAGGTATAAAGATATCTGAAGTAATGGTATATCTACCGGCCATCTCTACACAACGATTGGAATTAGAATTTAGTTTATAGTAGTTTTTTTCATTTTTTTTCTTGATTAGTTTAAGTAGTTTTTTTTATTTTTTTTTTTGCTTGATTAGTTTATAGTAGTTTTTTTTATTCTTGATTAGTTTATAATAGTTTTTTTATTTTTTTATTCTTAATTAGTTTATAGTAGTTTTTTTTATTTATTTTTCTTGTATATATTTTTTACTTCTTTTTATTTAGTTAGTTTTTTCTATAGTTAGTCAATTAATATAATAATCGACTACTATACCAATTTCCAATTAGTGTTTTTGCTGATGAATCCGAATAGATGAGGAATCACAATGAGTTTTGGATAAGGGTCTATGATTCTAGCAGATTGAAGATTGTATTTTATTATATCAAATAACTTTAATAAATTACCTGGATAACCGGGTAATTTAATATCACAATCTTAACCGAATACGAATTGTTATGTGTCTTCATTTATTTTATAACAGAACTCTGATCCCACACCACCAGACCATATCTTTCTTTTTATTTGAGTTTGCTTACTAAAAAAATTTTACTAATTGAATTTTTTATTTTTGTATAGAATAGTATAGAAGAAAAGTACTACTACTACGAATAGATTGGGATCAAATAATCATCTGAAAAAATATATCAGAATGATAAGTATATTCAGAATTAGAAACCAAAATTACGTATTTGCATTATCATATTAAATATTATAATCGATATTGTTATTAGCGTTAACTTAGCATTATATTTTTCATTTGTTTGTTTTTAAAAAAAAAAGAAAGATGCAAAACTCATTACAGATACATATTTAATATTGCGAACAAGCTATTATTTCGGAAACCATCAAATTAAAACCTAAAGAAACTTTGAATATATCGAACCTACCTATGTCGCTCCGTTAGCTTATAAGTATCAGGTTGAAAGTTACAATAACTAAATGTGGAAATAAGCAATGTGAAGTCGTTTAAAGAAAATACGTATTAAAATTTGTTTGTATTTTATATTGCTTTATATCACACCTCTAGGGTAAAAATGCAGTTTGTTCATATAAGAGCCAAAAACTTTATAGAAGAAAATACAATTTATATGTACGTACCTATAATTTAAAATTTTGTTAATTATTACAATTCATTAAACAATTAAACTAACCAATATAAAAAAATTTCATTTATTCCATTTATTTGCCTTATTCAAAGAATTTATTAAATGTGCGCAAAAGCCACGTGTAGAATCTTGGAAGCAGTGTGATGAGTACGATTACCTTAACAAAATCAAACATCATTTATTTACACATACACAAATATTAATACAAAACAAGAATAAATACTAAACTAAAAAGCTTAAAGAGGTCCAAAAATAATAATAATCACAATGATAACGATGATGTAGTTTGTTTTTTGCATGTATCAATGAGAGTAACCTTACGTCAAGAAAATGATCTACATTTGATATAAACAATTTTGATAATAATATATAATAATACCTTCCTTTTTTGTTTATGCTACGTACTTGGAAGTATATAGTGGTTGTCTTAGTAAATTTTGATTTTTTTGTTTTAGCGTTAGTGTTTGTTTACATTTCATAGTGCTTGACAAAATCAAGTAAAATAATTAAGTACTTACTATTAATGCTTAATCATTAAAACTTAATCACGTACTTGATTTTTCTTGACATAAGGGTACCTGCTGCTGCGTTCATTCAATATCACCAACCACATTGAAAGAATACGAATGCTTACGATACAATGCTAACATCAATTGATTTACGTTTGGAATTATCTGACAAATAAAACGGTGCTACTGCTAAATGCTCGTTTGAAAGATTTTCGGCATATGGGCAAATACGTAATCTGATTTTTTTTTTACCCTACTTAAATGGAAGGTAAATATAGATTTCCTTACACAGAGATTTTTATTTCGATTAATTCAAAACAATCAGTTTCGGATCGGTGCGCGGTTAATCTATGCTATTTCAGTCAGTCAAATTGCGAAGTCAAAAATAAACCACAAAAATATGAAAACAGCAGTCCAAACCTGTCTTGGTGCATTAGTAAAAAATGTCTGGAAAGCAATTTTACATACATTCTTAACCCCTAACCCTAATACTAAACTAGCCCTAACCCTAAGTTTAATTAAACCTTCGAAAAATCACATGGGCGCATGGCCTCAGCAATCCCCTAAAAATTGAAATCGATTATATATGAAAACATTTCTGACCAAAAAAAGACAAAAACAAAATAGATGTACGTACGTACTGTACGTACGTACCTTTTTTTTTTTGGCGTATTGTGTTTTTACTTTTGTATCACAAGCACAAGAAAAAATATCCTTTTTTTTTTGGCGTATTGTGTTTTTACTTTTGTATCACAAGCACAAGAAAAAATATTTTTAAAATATTATGCGTGTTATTGTATAAAAATAAATGCGGATTTTTTTTTTTCTTTTTTTTTTTTGGACGTCAATGGGGAAAAGATTTGCGTTTGTAAAAGTAAATGCGGAGATTTGCGTTTGTTTGTGTTCAATGGACATATACGTATTTATTTACGAGGTAAACATTTCTGACCAAAATAAGACAAATTTAATGGTAAATCATAACCCGTTCCAGTATCGTCTATTTTTTAAATTTTTTTTTTTTATACACATAGTACAATAAAAACAAACTGATGGTTTAAATGACAAATGTAAAAAAGGAAGTGAATGTCATGGAAATAAAATTTCAGGGGTTCTATGGACAAGGGTAAATAGGTTTTTGAAAAAGAGTTACTTATCCTGCAGTTTTGGTTAAGCGGATTTGTTAATTTGACGGCTCAAGTCTTCCGAGATAACAACCAACAAATTGTGTATAAATAAATTGAACAAGTTCTTTCTCTGAAAACCTTTTTTTTTTTGTTAATCAATGATTTATTTAATAATTATGGGTTGTAATTACGATGATTTTTCGAATCTTACTGAGATCGCAATGAATATTTATTATGCTAAATGGAATCATAAGGTAGTTGCACTCAAAAAGATAAAGCAACCCAAGAGAAATCAGATGTTAAAAATAATAAAAACGTTACAAGATACCCCACATCCTAATATTGTTAAATTTTATGACATAGTAAACAGTATGTAATGATATTTAGATCACCAAAAACCTATCTTAATTAATTAATTAATATAATCCACAATATTAATTAATAGATTCGGATGGAGATATCGTTCTAGTAATGAAGTTTGCCGAAGGTGAAAATTTGCGACAGTATTTAAAGTTTAATTTAAACATTATTAGAAAATTAAAGATTGCGAAAGACATTGTGGAAGGCCTGGAATTTTTGCATAATAAAAACATTATTCATTGTGATTTGGTAAGCTAATATATTCTTCTTGATATTTTTAAATAAACTTATTAAATAGTTGATATTTATTTTTAGCATACAGAAAACGTTTTGGTACATAAAGGTAGAATGATGATTACGGATTTTGATTTCTCTGTATTTTCAAATACTAAAAGCGAGGTTAATGGAATCCCTGCATTTGTTGATCCTTATGTACAAAAATTCTCTGATAAATCTATATTTACAACCAAGTACGATATATACGGCTTGGGTGTTATTCTTTGGGAAATTTCAAGCTGTCGTAAACCATTTGATGGCAAAACACCCCTGGAAATCATAACACTTACGCAAAGTGGTGTTAGAGAAATCTCCTCAGGGATGTTATTAGAATATGATAACTTGTACAAAAGTTGCTGGGATGAAGAACCAAAAAATCGCCCAGAGGCCAATGTTATTCTGGAAATATTAAATAACATTTTAGAGAAATATGAACATCATAGGTGATTAAATAGTTCAATATTAGCATTAGTTATTTTGATGGTTATAAAAATAGAAGAAATTTATAAATAAGGGCCCGAAAAGTAAAAATAATTACAAATATAGGCCCAAATTAAAAATAATTACATATAAGGGCCTAATTTTTAAAAATAGTACATATAAGGGCCCAAATCTATTGATGGCTAAAAAACATGATCACAGGATTATTGTATTTGACTTATCCCTTAAACCGTCAGTAGTTAGCGACATATTTGTCCGCTAAAAATAATTGGGAGAAAAAATAAATATAGAAAAATTTTTTTTATTAAAAGACTAACCAAAATCGACTAGAGTAACTCCCAGGAACATTAAGCACGTGACAATATAACTGTTACGTCATTGCGCATACCATGTGACACAAGCGAAGACCGCAAACCTAAATTACTCGGAATATATTGCATTTTTGTTAAAGAGTATTTTGTTGGGTCAAAACCTCCGGATCGCCCTAAGAATTCAGCTATAACGATTGCAAAATCACGATAATAAGATTATCAATTGTTATATTATAGGTATATAGAGTTATCTATATACCGATTATTAGATATAAAGCTCTGGTTATAATCATTTTCATTTAAATATTGTATAAAAAATAGCATTGAGCTAGCACAATTATTTATAAGGTGAAGTTTCAGCAGAGTAGCTCTCTAGAGCTGAACGAACATCTTCAATATTAATAAAAAAATTATGCCAATTCGCAATGCTTTACTTGACATCATAGTGGTTTGTTATAACAATAAACAATTTATACAAAAAAAATGAAATTTATTAAATTTAAAAAAATTTCTCATTTATAATTACTAATTTATAATCGATCGTTATATTTTTTTATGCGCTTAATATTTACATTTTATGATGCTTATGTTTCTTATGCTAATAATGATCAATATAACGTCACAGTTATTTTGGGCCCTTATATGTAATATTTTTAAAAAATTAGGCCCTTCTATGTAATTATTTTTAATTTGGGCCTGTATCTGTAATTATTTTCACTTTCCGGGC